ACATTTTCCCTCAGATTAAATTACTCTCCCAAACCACTCCAGTTCAGGAACTCAAAAGCTCTGTGTGGACACTTCCCACTCGTGCACAGGTGTGTAACCAAGATAACTGATAGTTTGTAGAATTAAAAAGAAAAAAAAAAGAGACAAAGAGGTTCTAGTTGAAGCTATTAGAATCTGTTGCTACTGATTTGGGAAGTGGAGTCCAAGAATCCCAGGGGCACTGCAAAGGTCTCCCCCAAATCTGAGGCATCTCCGCTTTATGTGCTGACCTCACAGAGCTGCTGGGCGGGATGGTCTATGGTGACATCTGTGTGAAGGACAGTGTGGGCTGGGGACCTGACAGAGAGTAGAGAGTCAGCCACACGCAAAGATGGGAAACGCCAGGAGAGAACTTGTGAGCAAAGCTGGCCGGTCAGCTTAGCAGATAAAAATCTTCCGAACTGTGGGGCCCATGAGGGCCAAGTATTTCTATAAAGAAGGAGATCTGTGGGAGATATCTAACATTTGGCTGTCCAGCAGATGCCTCCTCCATTTCTGCAAACTGACCTTTCTTTGGAGAATCCCTAGCCTCCCAATGGTCACACCGTCTTAGTAAAACAGGATCCTGCCCTCAGTCACCACCCGAGCTGGGCACACTGGCACCCTTCCTCACAGTATGTACACACTGGAACTAAGCAGCGTGGCCAAAACGTAGGGGAAAATAAAACGGCGTCGGGGGGGAAGAGGACAACACGGGGCCTTGCTGGTTCCCCAGCAGCCCTGTCCCACTCTGTCCCTATACATCCGGCCCTGCAACAAGACTCCTTTTGCAGGAGCTCATTCAGGTTGAGTGTCTATTACCCCCTCTGAGTCTTTGCATGAAATGAGACTACCTGATAGGATCCTCTCCTTAACATCTAGATGGTTCCTAGTCATCTTTGTGTCCTCCACAGCACGCGACACCTGGCATACATGCCCAGTAAGCATCTGTTGAATGTGATACAAAAATATTCTGTTTTAGCCCTGGCCGGTTTGGCTCAGCGGTTAGAGCGTCGACCCGCGGTCTAGAGAGACCCGGGTTCGGTTCCCGCTAAGGGCACGTACCGCAGTTGCAGTTTGTCCCCGGCCATGGTTGGGTTCTGTGGGTGGCAGCCACTCGATGTGTCCCTTTCACGTCGATGTTTCTCTCTCTCTCTCTCTCTCCCTCCCACTCTATCTGTACAAAAAATGGAAAAATGTCCTCGGGTGAGGATAAAAAAAAAATTCTGTTTTAAAAAATAAATCAATCAACTCAGCTTCTTGTTTTAATAGACTTTTTCTGGTCCATAGAGCAGTAACTACTTGAGGACCCTTCACAGCTTTCTAAATGGGCCAGTTGAGGGAGTGGAGGCGGACTCATAGCTGTACAGAATTGGGGTGGGGGGGTGCTGAAACTTGAAGTGGAAACCCCAATTCTCAGAGCAGAGTAGGGCGTCACCAATCGTGGGACCGAACCCTCCGCCTACACAGGCTCCCCTTGGCCTCACACCCTGGACACTAGCTTCCCCAGGTTCCATGCTCACACCCTTCAACCCCTTCTCTCCAGGCCAAATATCGCCTCCAGCCTCCAGCTCCACATTCTCAGATGTTTAACATACTCTTCCACTGATGTAATGGCACAAACCACCTTCCTCCGAGCAGCCACTCCTGCGGGCTCCCCCACTGCTGCGCCAAAGCCCACATTCCCCAGGACAGATTACCAGCGTTATCACTGCTATATAATGCCATACTATGCAGTGACTGAAGACGTAATATATATACTGACCCGGAAAATGCTTGCAAACCAGAATGTATAACATGATCCGTGTGTGCATGCGCGCATGTGCACACACACCTATACAGGCAGTATGATACAATGGCTAAACAGGCCTTTGGAGCTGGATAGATCTGGTTGAATTTATGATCATAGGGGGGGCACCTACATTTTTAGTGACTGTTTTTAAAAATTTTTATTGATTGATTTTGAGAGACAGAGAAACACTGATTTGTTGCTCCAATTATTTATGCATCCACTGGTTGATTCTTGTATGTGCCCTGACCGGAGATCGAACCCACAACCTTGGTATTTGGGGACAATGCTCTAACCAACTGAGCTACCTGGCCAGGGCATGAGTGATTTTTTTTAAAGACTATAAAGTAGGCTGAATATCTAGCTCATGGGTAAGTTACAAGATGATGTACAGATAGCACTGGCATTGTGTTACACAGGAGATATGCCAAAATATTAACAGTGATTATCTCTAGGTGCTAGGGCTGTGTGGAATTTTTTAATTGTTTTGTTTCACTGCACTTTCCATGAAAAGCTGAAGTCACTTCTGACTCCTGTTCATCATTTTCCCCGGCTCTAATATTTAATCAGCAATTCCTGCATATTATGCTTCCGAGAAGTGTCTCATATTAAGGCACTTGTTCCACAATCACAGGTCCCCGCCCTGCTGGAGGCTCTCACCTTCTTCCATTCACACCAGTAGCCCTCCCTCCTACACTCTACCATCAAACTCATTCCTCAAACCCCAACTCCGTGCCATTCTCCCGCTCAACCCTTCCCTGGCTACCTGAGTCTTTGCACCAGCCTTGGCCAAAGTCCCAGTCCCTCTGGAGCTCACAGTGTTAAGGTGCCTCGCCATGCTGTTCCCAGGGGCGCACTCAGTTCCTGCTTGCTGCTATGGCCCTTTTCCCTCGTTAGAATCCTGTCGCCTTCTGAGACCCGCTGCTGGAAGTCAGCACTTTGTATGTGCTCACAAGGACTTCTTAAAAGATGGATTAATCACATTCTGCCATGAGTTCTAGTTGCATCCCTTGACACAGATTTGACCTCAGGTCTTCAAATAGATCAACACACGCTATTCTGCAAATAATTCAGGAATGAACTCCCAGTTCTTATTTCGCCAGGCCCCGCAATGGGAGCCTCAGCTTGAGGTGACTGCTCAGACCCCTCTGCCCCAAGTTAGTAAATCCCTTAAAAAGCCAAAAAGGCCCTGGCTGGTTTGGCTCAGCAGTTCGAGCATCGGCCCATGGACAGAAGAGTCACGGGTTCGATTCTGGTCAAGGGCACATACCTCGGTTGCAGTTAGTTCCCTGACCCTGGTCGGGGTCGTGCGGGAGGCAACCAATCATTGTGTTTCTCTCACATGGACGTTTCTCTCTCTCTCTCTCTTTCTCTCTCTCTCTCTGAATCCAATAATGGGAAAATATCCTCAGGTGAGGATTCAAAAAACAAAAGACCAAATGCTTTCAAAGACCTTATGACATATCTCTAGGGACTTGTCAAGGCCTGTAGCCCCATCTTCTCTTTATCTCAGATAAATATCAAACAGATCCATCATGCTGTTTACTTTCCTTGTGCTTCAACAAATAGGCTTAGAGAGAGCCTGGCCCAAGGCACAATTATAAGCTTGGGGTTGTACTTGAGTTGCACCAGGAGAGACCTGGAAAATTACTTTCCCGGCAGGGCTTGTTGACTCCCAAGGCACCACAACAAGACTTCAGAGAATGTTTATAAACAGGAGTGGCCCTGAGGTTTTCCTGTCTCTGTTGCAGTACGAAACTTGAAGGGTAGAGGAGGGGAGGGCCATCTTCCTATTTCATCCCCTCCCATGTACCCTACATCTAAGTTCAAACTGTCAACATACTAGGCATAGGTTTATCTAATTCCAATGCAGCACTGGTTTCTATTACTGTTTATAAATAAATAAAAACGGTTGGCTTGGAATTTAAGTCATTCTGTAAGAAGCTTAAAGAATCTGCGAGAGAATTGGAAATCACATCAATGCCAGATGTCAAGTGAGAAGACAATATCTAATTGATAATTAATTGCTTTTCTATTTTATTTTATTTTTTGGTATGTGCCCCTCACGGGAACCGAACCCGGGACTCTCTGGTCCACAGGCCGACACTCCAACCACTGAGCCAAACGGGCCAGGGCTAATTGCTTGTTTAGATTTAATTATCAGTTTTCAGATGCATACATTGAATTTTTGTAAACAGTATCTAGATGCATATTTAAAAGATTCCTATGATAAATATTTTGGAACATTTATTCTTGGAAGAAAAGCAGCTTTCATGTATTAGATTCGTAAATAAGGTATTTGCTTGTGGTCGGCGAGGGAAAGGACCTGCACTGGGTGAAAGACATGGGCAGATTCTACCAAGAGGGCGGCCAGGGGGAGGTGATCACGGCAGCAGAGGGTTAGAAAGGAGGCAGTTTTTCTGTTCTCATCTGGCCTGGCCTAACCGACACAAGAAAGCTGGGGAAAGGCTCGCTGACACCTAAATCCCTGCCCTTGTCCTGCTTTGGCGTCACCCTAAATCCTGTGCCCTGGTCCACAAGCACCTAATGTGCTTTTCAAGGACTGAGGAAAACTAAGCCGCATTGTTTGGAGCCCTGACCCGAAGACCCGCAGGGGCTCCCCTCGGACGGGAGGACGCAGCTGCCGGCGCGCAGAGGGTGAGGGACGCCCTCGCCTTCCCCACCATCTGCGGCCGCCCCTCTCGCGGTAATCGGATTCTGCTCGCGCCGCCGAGGAGTGGGGGAGGGGGGGGAGGGAGGGGGAGGGGGCGTTCCAATCTGCTGTCTACACTCGCTCGGACAAAGCTGTCCTCGGGGCAGGAAAACGCCATCGCACTCAGCTCTTCCCCCGCGGGAGCCGAGAGCCGTTCCCAGACCGGGAGGTCAGCTGCGCACGGAGAGGGGTGACAAAGCCGCCTCCCGCCGCCGGAGTTTCCGAGCCAGCGGGACAGCGGGCGTCGGGTCTCCGAAAGCTGCCCTTTGGGAGTGGGGACCCTCCCCGGGCGATGGTCCCACCGTGGGCACAGAGAGGGCAAGTAAAAGGGGTAGTTGAGAGAGTGCCTGTCCTTCCGCACGGCTCCTGGGCAAACAATCCAGAGAGGAGCGGGTGGGCGCGGGGACTTCCGGAGCAGAGCGCGCGTCCCGCGAACTCGCCCGAACGGGAAGCCCCCGCCCGGCCCGCCGAGCCCCTTACCATCTCCTTGCGAAGCAGGGCCAGCGCGGCGTCCAGGTTGGGCGGCTTGGTGGGCAGCGCCGCGCTCCGGGCGCCGCCGCCGCCGCCCGCGCCCCCGCGGCTCAGCTCGTCCTGGATGCGCGACTTCTGCGCGTATAACCGCTCCAGGTGCCGCCAGCCCCCTGTCGCGCCGCCGCCCGACGCCGAGTGCAGCAGCCCGCTCAGGCTCTTGGGCAGCGGGGGCAGCCCGTCCACTCGCAGCCCCCGCGCCGCGCCCGCCGCCCCCGGCGCTGCCCCGGCCCCGCTCATCGCGCCGGTTCGGCCACGCGCCCGCCCGCCACTGCTCGAGTCCAGACTCCCCCAGCCCGCCCCCTTCCCGGCGGCGCCCCACCCACTTCGCGCCCCGCCCCGCCCCCGCCCTGGCCCCCTTGAGCCGCACCGGCCGGGGTTACTTCCAGCCCCGCCCACTGTGCCTCCGGCCCGCCCCCATCCCTGTGTTCGTCCCCAGCCCGGCTCTCTTCTAACCCCACCCCTTACCCTCCGCCCCACCCCCGCCCCGGGGGCCGCCCGAGCCCGTGTCCGCCTCCGTCCTGTGTCTGGCCTCGCTCACCTCCAGCCTCTCCCAGGACTCCGCTCTCACCTGCCCACGCACCTCGCGGGACAGAGTCCTGCCCCGGCTGCCCCACTCCCGGCTAAGTGGGCTCTCGGACCAGTCCCCAAATCTGCTGCTAGTCAGCGAGGGGGACCCCACTTCAAATGCGCAGGGTAGGCCCTTTGGTGCTGGGGTGCGGGTGCAGAGGCTCCCGCTGGGGGCGGCAGGACGTAGGAAAGAAAGCAGCAGTGCTGGCGATCCCGCCCGTGGTCGCCGTCCCCGAGGCCAGGACCCAACCGGTGGCTCCAGGTTGACCGAGGCCTGGCCGCAGGAGCCCCGCCGCCCTGCGAGGGCGGAATCCAGACTCGCTGAGGGGAGGACTGGGACCGCCAGGCCCGAGGGCCCTCTCAGTCGATGGCACGTCTAGCCGCAGGAACAGCAGCTAAGAGAGCTCCAGGTCCACTTTGGGCTTCAGAACAAACGTCTTTCAGCCTGGCGGTGAACGCACGAGTAATTAATTCTAAATGGAAATGTTAGGAAAGTACAGAAAAGGATTAAATCTCAGAAAGTATCCACCATTCTGAGGCAAAAATAACCCTCATGACTCACACCTGAGAGGGAAGGAAAAGAGAGGGGGGGGTGACAGGCTCTCCCCGTTATAGGAAGGAAGAATAAAAATGTCAGTTACAACCAGACTAGTAACAGAAGAGGTCAGGAATTAAGGACCAATTTGCAGCCCGACCGAAGATTAGATGACAATGTCCTATACACAGAGTGAATAACTTTTTTTTTCTTTTTTGGTTCTTAGTGAGAGAGGAAGGGAGAGGGAGAGAGAGATAGAAACATTAATGAGAAAGAACATGGATTGGCCGCCTCTTACATGGCCCCACTGGGGATTTGGTCCACAGCCTGGGCATGTGCCCTCACCGGGAATTGAACCAGCGATCTCTTGGTGCATGGGTCCATGGTCAAGCACTGAGCCACACTGGCTGGGCTAGAGTGGATAACTTTAATACCCACTGGTTATTGGTTTTAATTATTAAGTGATTCAGTTGTTCCAAATACAGTCAATAGAATCATAAATTACAAGAGTTCTGAGCGCTTCAGACAGCCAATATAAAAAGCCCTGCATTTGGGGGGATCTTTCCCCTTTAATCTACCCCCCACAGAGTCTTCCACCCCAGAATCTTGTTTTTAACGTTGGCAGATGTCTCCACTGGCCCCTTGCAACTGGGTGAGAGGACAGCAGAAGCCCCAGCCCAGGCAGTGCGGGTTGAGGCATCAGGGAAGCTTCTACTCCACTCACTGCCCAGTTTTCCACATCACTGTGCCTCGCCTTCCACTAATCACCTAGTCACATTTCCGGATTTTAGGTATTTATTTATTTGCCTATTTAAACAGTGGGTGTCGTCCTGGCTTGTTTGGCTCAGCGGTTAGCACATCGGCCTGCGGTCCAGAGAGACCTGAGTTCAGTTCCCGCTAAGGGCACGTACCTCGGCTGCAGTTTGTCGCCGGCCCCGGTTGGGGTCGTGCGGGTGGCGGCCACTCGATGTGTCTCTCACATTGGTGTTTCTCTCTCTCTTCCTCCCTCTCTCCTTCCCCCTCTATCTGAAGATAAATGCAAAAATGTCCCCGGGTGAGGATAAAATAAAAGATAAATAAATAAATGAATAATTAAATAAACAGTGGGTGTCTTCAGGAGAGTGACAGATTTGCTTGTGTGGGAGTGAGGAAGAGGAGGGGAGGGAAGCATTTTGCTCTTTCTTCACACTCTGGCATGAATTCCTTTAATCCTGTGGGTCACGCTGCTGTCTGTCCTGAAGAAATCACCAGGAGTTAGGTCATAGGAGGCTTGGTTATCCATGGTACGATGAGAAAATAAATCATTTCAAAGTATCAGGGCAGTGAAGTCATTCTAAAGCACATACCTGAGAGAATTATGGATGGCATAAAGGAGAAAGGGTTAGGGCCAGCTAGACAGCAACCCAAGGTCCCTGGTGCCAGGGCAGGATGGACAGTTTAAATGATGCCAACCACAAAATTTTAAAGGCAGGCTCTGCATTCTGGGAGATACTCAATGAGGTGAACATATTGAAATAGACCCCTTTATATCAACAAATCAGAACCAGTGTCAATGGGAATTTCTACAGAATTTCTGCGGTACCGATTAAGACTTTATTTGTAAAAATCCAAAACATACTTATGTAAAAGCCCATCAAATGTTATTGAAACCACAGGGAGTGGCAGTGCCTACTTATTGAAAGGCCAATATAAGCTGCCTTTTAAGGTTCATGCTTGTAGCCCTGGCCGGTTTGGCTCAGCAGTTAGATCATCAGCCTGCAGTCCAGAGTCCCGGGTTTGGTTCCCGCTAAGGGCACGTACCTCGGTTGCGGTTTGTCCCCGGCCGGGGTCCTGTGGGTGGCAACCAGTTGATGTGTCTCTCTCTCACGTCAATGTTTCTCTCTCTCTCTTCCCCCCTCTCTCCCTCCTGCTCTATCTGAAGATAAATGCAAAAATGTCCTCCGGTGAGGATAAAAAAAAAAATTCTCAGCCCCAGCAGGTTTGGCTCAGCGGTTAGAGTGTTGACCTGTGGTCCAGAGAGACCCAGGTTTGGTTCCTGCTAGGGGCACATACCTCGGTTGCAGTTTGTCCCCAGCCCTGGTTGGGTCATGTGAGTGGCAGCCACTCAATGTGTCCCTTTCACGTCGATGTTTCTCTCTCTCTCTCTCAAAAATAAAATAAGTCTCAGACATCTGATGCTACTCCGTGGATCTAAAGCAATGTTTTCAGCCAACAGCGAACTGTGAATTCGCCACCTTTCAAGGACTCACCGAATTTCTAAAATTTCATAACTTAGATTGTTGAAAGAATAGAAAGAACCTGGAAAACAGAAACATACCAATACCTTTTTTTTTCAGAGCTGATGACCTTAAATTCTGCTGACCTTAGAGAAATTTATCTTCTTGTCCACAATAGTCATTTTTCACTTGTTGCAGGACTAAATTAGAATACTTTGAGAGCAGTTGTGCAGTGTATTTTGCCTAAATTTTAGCAAATGTTTTTAACTGTAGACTCTTTTATATTATTTTAAATTGTTGTTTTGTCAACTCAGTATTATTTAATATTTAGTCAATGACAAAAGGCAAGGCTTTTTAAAATATATATATATTACCCTAGTACAATGCTAGGCACCTAGTGATATAAAAAAAATTTTTTAAGAATGTATCAGAGGTAAGTTCTTTTTTTTTTAATCCTCACCCGAGGACACTTTTCCATTTTTTGTACAGATAGAGTGGGAGGGAGAGAGAGGAAGGGAGAGAGAGAGAGAAACATCGACGTGAAGGGACACATCGAGTGGCTGCCACCCGCACGACCAACCAGGGCCGGGGACAAACTGCAACCGAAGTACGTGCCCTTAGCGGGAACCGAACCCGGGTCTCTCCGGACCGCAGGCCGACGCTCTAACCGCTGAGCCAAACTGGCCAGGGCCAGAGGTAAGTTCTTGAGTATCTACTGTGTAAGTCACAAGGCTAAGCTTTATAACAAACACAACAATAGCTGAGGTTCAGTCTGTGACTTCAAGCCATTCATGGCCCATTAGATCACAATGTCACAGAAGTAGAAGTCAAAACTGTGGCAGTCCCAGCAGAGACCGATTCCTTCTGGGGTTCAGAAAAGGCACAACAGAAATGGGTTCAATTAAATAGTACCTGAAGGCTAAGTAGACTTTGGGTAAGTGCAGTCAGACCAGAGAGTGAGAAGACCCCTAGCTGATTGGAAGGTGGGTTGCCTTTGGGAGACAAGAGCAGAGAGGCTGGAACAGTGGCTTTAGCATCAGACTGGGGAAGTTTTCAAACTGAGTACTAAGAAGTTTGGATTCTATTTCTTAGGCAATGGGAAGCCACTGAGCTTTTTTTTTTGGTACGTGCCCCTAGCGGAAACGAACCTGGGACTCTCTGGTCCGCAGGCCGGCGCTCCAACCGCTGAGCCAACTTGGCCAGGGCTCACTGAGCATTTTAAAGCAACATAATATTAGCTTTAGAAAAATCATTCTGGCATTTGCTCAACCTATAGGTTCAGGGTGGAGGCTGAGATTAGAGGCAGGGGGAGGAGTTGAGAAGCTAATGCATCTTTGAATGGAGAGGAAATAAAGACCTGAATAAGGTGGTACAAAGCAAAGGTTAGGAAATAAATACCCAGATACTTTATAAAGCGCTTTCTCGTAGATTTTCCTCATTCGGCCAGCACAATCTCTGGGAGGTGTGTTACTTAGAGTTCCATCTGACGAATGAATGAGGGGCTCATCAAAGTTCATCGATTTGCCCAGTTGCTCAGCTGAGAAGCAATGGGACCTTGCAACAGGCCTTGCCTTCTTACTGAGGAGATGCCAGGGGCAGACAGGTAGCTGGTTGTGTAAAGGCTGGACCAGAGCCTGCACTTAGAGGTGATGGTTGAAACCCTTGAAATGGGAGAGATCACAATGGAGAGAGCCCTCAACCAGAATTAGGAACACTTTCACTCACTAGCTCTTTGAAGTTAAAAAAGGCAAAAAAAAATAGTGCAGAAACCTAGAAAATGCAATAAATAAATTAAAGCATTTGGGAAGAATCGGCCACCAGCTTTATTTCCTTAAGTGCAAGAGGAAGCACCTAGCTAAGGAGGCTTGACCAGACCAGACAGTGCCCTTCGGGAGATGAGAAGGAGTTTAAAGGTTTCA